TATCCCCGTATCAAGCTCTACACTTCACCCAGTTAAGCCATGAAGGTATATCCCGAAAAGGAAATTCCATATGAAAAGAATCTGAGCCCTAGTAGGTTGAAAGAATAGAGATGAATTTGGAATTGCCAAGATTTGAGTAAACATATTCTTCGTGAGTCGAACTTGCTTTTCATTCACAAGAGTGAACGTGATTACATCAATGGATTAATTGTAAGAAGCAATGGAACCAGCCATTGATAACCATGACATCTGGACATCAAAAGCATTGAACATCGCAATTGCGAGACCTGAATGTTGAATAGCAACAATCATCATCTTGAGTACTTCAAGATACATTGACACATCTCCTTCAAACTGCTAGTCTGTGCTTTTAATCTTCATAATAGGTTACGATGCAACTTCTTCAGTAGTGGTGTTTTGAGTAGCAGCCATTGTTGAAAGCTTGAGAGTAATTTTGAAGAACGGAGAATTAGGGCTTTTTGACTGTTTGAGTTTTTGAACGCATAATTATACATGGAGATAATAATTATAAAAGGAGATAATAACTTGCTTTTATATGTATCCCCAATAGAATTCCAAACATTTTCATTAAAGAGTAAGCCACATCTGTCCTTGAAACTCGCACCACTAGCTGTAATGTGTACCTTGTCAGATAAAGTACCTTGAAAGTTGAACCATGTTTCCAAACCATCACATCAAACTGTTCGTGAGTACCAAGTGAATAAGATCAAAAACCTTCGGCATGGAGGTTAGGCTCTTTCATCTTTGGGTTTAGAAACGAAGTGATATGCCAGACTATCGAAACTATCAGCCTGAGTTGGTAATACTCAAAACCTCAAGGATTCTGTGAGTGCAATGTGCCAATAGAATAAGATAAGAAGCAAACTAACGAAAATTTGGGATCTGTGATGTCGAAAAATAAAATTCCGACACAAAGGCAGTTAAACCCCAGGCAAAGGTTGCTTCATTAATTATCAAGAGAGATAATCAACAGCTTGTGTGGTTTCCCGTGAATTACAATCTAATACTTATAAAGAAGTATCAAAGGGCTTCTTTTTCAAGGCTTCGTGGGTGGCTTAAAAATTTCGTTACATATCATCCTAAACATAAGGTGAGTAATTGTAACAAAAATTACTTGTGTGACCAGTGTAGTCAGTGACAAGTATGCTTTGGATTAATTTAAAAGTGACAATTGAAAGAATTGATACTCACACGAAAATCATATTCAAAGAAAAATTATTTTCAGCTGGATCATGTTGGGTAACAAATGTTGTGGGCTTCGAACATTTGATCAAGACCACTCATAATGAAAGAATATGATGCGGAGCATCGAACACTACTAGAAAAATAGCCTTTTACGATGCTCATTGCGCTTTGTAAAAGGCTCAGACGATGCGCAAATGCACGTCAACAAAGGCCCTGTCATAAAGAGAGACGACGTGCTTTTGCGCGTCATCTATAGACGACGCGCATTTATGACGCACGTTCACGACACACAATGCGTATCAAGGAAGGCCCTGTCATAAAGGAAGAGGACACACATTCGCATGTCGTAACCTTATGAAGCGCGTGTTTGCGTATCAAGAAAATCCCTGTCAAGAAAGGCCATTTCATAAATGAAGATGACACACATTTTTGTGTATCATAATTTCAAATGTTTAAGAAAAATATTATTTATAGATTTACTACTTTTCAAATTAAATAACACATTTAAAAGTCTCATAATGCAAAATAAAATACTTATATAACAAAACAATCCATTTCATGAAATAATTATACTAATATTCAAAATAAATCACATTTAATTGTTATTTTATTAACATGAGTCAAACTAGAAAAACAAATCTTCCTAATCCAAATAACAACATACATAAAGCACAAACTATTTTCGGAAAGGAGAAGGTAGAGAGACAGCTTCCATACAATTTTTCATTTGACTGCAACACCACCTCGTTTTTTCTAGGAGTCGAATGGGGATGCATAAATAACTGAACACTCTGACCTCACGACATCAAAATTCATTCCAAGCTGCAATAATTGCAGAAATGATGAGCATCACCTAAAAATAAAATCAACGATACAAAAAAAGATTCTATCCCCAACATATGACCCAAGAACTAACCAACCTTAACCCCCCCCCCCCCCACCCCATTGAAGTATGGCCTTCTCTGTTGGAGATCCAGAAACCTCAACACCTCTGCCTCCCTATTAATTAAGCACCAAACCAACATTGATAGTGAATTTTCTTTTTTCATAATTGATTAAAGATCACTAACACCAAGAAAAAAAAGGTATAGAAGAGGATTGGTGCTCTTGTAACGTACATATTCAAAATACCTACCTCAGGGGAAAATACACTGTCAGTTGTATTGTGAGCTACACTTTCAACAAGAAGAGATACACTCTTTGGAGGTAATGCTAACGTGTCATTTAGTGGATCATTTTTATTCCCACAAATATAAGCCTCGACCAGTCATCTGAATAAAGAAAAAACATGAGATAAATAAGGTAAAAGAATGAAAGATTTTTACTTCTCAGATGTCAAAATAAAGAGAAAGGAAACGAAAGGAGATTCCCTTTAACTATCTAATATATGAACAGAAGATTAGAACTTAATACTAGAATAAAATAATAAAATATACAAGAATCATGAAGTTACCAAGAAAAGAAAAATATCCCACCAAATTCAAAGTCAAGGTTCCAGTTTTATCACAGCAAATTGTAGTTGCAGAACCCATCATTTCACAGGCAGATTGCCTAATTGTCACACCCCCAAACCGGAATGGCGGAAACGTTCGGGCGTAGATGAATTCATGTGGTACGTAACAAATGAATACATAGTAAAGAAAGCAATACAACCATCATATATATAATTGAAAGTTTACATTTTTTAAAAGAGTACATGTTCAAAACCAATTACAATATGATGTCAAAATATGAAATTAAACTGGCGCCGCAGCGCCCTTTCTCCAAAACCTGTTTGTTACCTGTAATTACTGAATCCCTGGGACATACAAGTAGTTTTGAAAGAGTAGGTCAGCACTTAAGCTGGTGAGTTTCATAAGTATTTAATGACAATGTTTGTACGAAATGAAATGTTTTTGTTCTTGTTTGTTCATTCCTAGAAAATCCTATATTTTCTACTAGTATAAATGTAGCCTTCTTTCAAGACCAATTTTTGTTTCTAGTAAATGTATGTACGTATAAAATTTCCAATACGTCCGAAAAACCCCGTAAATCATTGTGTTTTTAATACTCTATATGAGTTTTATAACCATACTATTGACAAGGAATGCCTATACACAACGTTCTTCAGGCGTTGGAATGTTCTGACGTTTGTCACCCCAAATGGTGGACTGTAGCTAACAGTCAGGGCGCAGGTTGTCAGGCCCGTATAGATCTATACACAAACACCATGCTCCCCCTCCAAGGGATTATGGTATATAATACAGGACTTGAAATGTGTACTCGAACGTACATGAAGTTAATGTCTCACAAAACTTAGTATAAAACAGATTTACGTGTGAAAATGTTCGTTCGTTATTGTATATGAAAGTAGCTCCTTGAAATAGTATTTCCATGTATGTAAAAGTTCGTAGTATTCTCGTAAAACTATACCTATTATAGTTTCCTAAAAGTTTGTTTCGTTTGTATAATAAACCCTTAGTGAAAATGTTCACTTGTTATGAAAAGTGTAGTTTTTGTAGTGCCAAACCGACACATAGAAATGTAGCATAAGCGAAGTATCTGATTTATATAAATACTTAAATCGTTTCTCATTTCAAAAGATAAAATGTTGTCGTGGTAAAATTTGCACATGAAAGTTTCCCTATAATAGTTTTAAATCACATATGATTCCTTTGATAAAATGCGTATAGTGAAAGTTTATATAACACACGATAATAATCGAGTGTTTTACTTGTATTCCCCCCCTTAAAATCATGTAAAAGTACTCATAAAACATTTAAAAGTGTGAATTATAGGGGTATGAACTCACTTGAAAGATCGGAGGTTGCAGGATGAAAACCGGACAGAGTTTCGGCTCGAGAAAGTGGATTTCCTCGGGATTCTTGGGAATCTCGGGGGTACAAATGACCTTCGGGACTTGAGCAAAGTGATCGGGGCTTCGGGGTAGCACGGGCACGGAAAACGAGGCAAGAACGTAAGAGAAATGAAAGAAATGGTGTGTTTTCCCCAGAACCCTCGCATCCCTTTTATAGGGGTTGGGAACCGACCTCGTACGTTGGGCGTACGCGTGCGTCATGCGTGACCGAGTCCTTGACTGCCTCAGAGCTCGGATGGGACGGGACATAGCCTCGCACAGGCGCGACGTGGACAATCCAAGGCCTAGGCCTCGCGTACGCTGGGCGTACGGGGGTTACGTTGGGCGTAACTCGGCCCTATCTGGTGACTTCCCTTCGGATAATACCAAGGGTTTTTAATTAAATTTATATTTTAATTATTTAATAAACTTCAATAATGCATATCTTCTTTATACGAACTCCGTTTTCGACGTTCTTTATATCCACGCGAAGGTGAGACCATACTCTACAACTTTCGTTTAGATCCCGTCGGGAAATTCCGAAATTATTTTTATTATTTATTTTTAAAATGTCGCGGTAAGAAAATTTCTGTAAAAATTCATAACTTCTTTATCCGACGTTGGTTTTTGCCAGACTTTTTACCGCTGAAATACCATTGTTGAGACCTTCGATTCTCGTTTAGGTCATTCCGGTCAAAAGTCGCTCGATCTCTGATTCGAGTTTTTAGTCGTCTGCCGTTAAGCTGAACTTGAAAAATTCCTAACTTTCTTATACGAAGTCGGATTTGGGCATTCTTTTTACGTACGATCACGGTTTAATGACATCTAACATAGTAGGTAATTTAATTAGTGATTTTTGGATATTTTATTTTCGAAGTTAATTTTATTACAACTAACGTGGTTACAATACTTGGTTTTTTAGGTCGTTTTCATGTAGTTGAAATATCGGGTTGTCACACTAATCTGCACATACAAAATTACCAAAAACATAAAACAAAATACATACAACTATACAAGTCAATGAGAACAAAATATCAATATACCAATGCTTTGTCAGACATCATTTTTCTCATTGAGTATGGAAGCCTGTAATTATATATAATTAACATTTTAGTCATCCAAAACTCAGATTAAAGAAATGGTTTATAGAAAATGGACAGCTTATGTTGAAGTGACAACTAATGGAAGCCCTTCTGGAACTGCAACATAAAAAATAGCTACCTATAGACAACTCAAGAATTACAAAGTTGAAAATGAAACTATATATATATATATATATATATATATATATATATATATATATATATATATATATATATATATATATATATATATATATATACAGAAGATACGTACTACAACAGTGAAAATTTTGATTACTCCATCCATAGCATCCTTGACACTAGTTTTACCAGTAATGAACTCTACTTTTCCCTCATCATCCTTTGTGTATCAAGTGAAAAACCTAGCAAGCAGAAAAAGCAATTATACCCATGCAACTTTGAATTACCTGATGAGAAGGATGACAAGAACGGATACGGCTACCAAAAGCCCAATCTTACCAATAAACATTGCCACTCCACTCAAACACACCTACCAAAACACATAGACAATACATCTATGAATTAAAACCTAAAGTTTTTGTATAAGATATTGTAAACAACTTGATGACAGTTTTAAGACTTGTTGTGTGATTTTTTGAATTTTATAAGGTTAGAGCATGTTTAGAGAACTAACCTGTAATGGTGTTTCCTCATCATTATCATTATTTGAGATGCTAGCCATAAGAATCCCCATTCTGTATTCATTCCAACACTTGTGAACTAAATGTGGTTGCATAAGTGAAAAATTGTCAGCAATGGGATGAAGGAGAATGATAACAATTTAGGTCCACATAAAAATGTCATTGATGCAAATCTTTATTCTATAAGTTGACCAAGAAGTGGGAAGAGGATAAAGTTAAGGAATTTCTGAACATCACAAGATCGAACAAATTGTCACTTATCTCTTGACAAGAACTGCAAGGATCTACTCCTTTAGAAGATGGTAAATCTGATAAAGCCCTGATGAAAAAGTCACTGGTTATGAACTAGCATTAGGTGTCCAAATGTATGTGTTGTGATTTGTGACATAATCACCACAAAAGACCATGTGGCATTGGTGTTGGTGGTGGCAGCAATGGTGGTGGTGGTGGTGGAGGTGGGGGCGGTGGTGGTGGTAGGGGTGATGGAAAAAGAAATATCACACAGGGTTAGAACTTAGAAAACATCTTCCAAAATCATAAGCTATTTTTTTGTCTTTTGGAAAAAGAGGTCAAAAAGACTTTTTTTTATGTGTTTTTGCATGGGATTAGAATGATTATGTCTTACCGTCATAGTACTACAACCATCAGCCACCTTGCACCCAGCCATTAAATCAACCTGTTCCATCATTTTTTTTAAAAAGTTACATTATTTACCCTTGAAAACTAGAGAATCAAAATAAAACACAATGTAATCAACAGAAATTTATGAAAACTTACAGTGTGACTCTCGCCAGTCATACTTGATTCATCAATAGAAAGAGAGTAACTAGAAATGCAAATCCCATCAGCTGAAACCTGGCTTATGAATGAAATGTAAACAAGGGCAAAAACGGAAGTCACAAGAAATGAGAAACATATTACCTGGTCGCCTATCATAAGATGTATGACATCACCCACAACAATATCAAATATTGAAATCATCATCCTCCTTCCACCTCTTACAACCTTGCAGTATCATATATTTATTTATCAATGAAAAAAAATATGATTGTATGAAAAGATCAATACATTGATTAAAAACCCACCTGACACTGTATGTTCTGCTTCTCCTCATTCAAGTTTTGAAATTTAAGTGAACTTTTATACTCATGTATGGCTAGAGAAGACGAAATAACAATGGCATGTTAAAAGAGAGCAAACTATGTGAGATAATCTTTTTGTTTATCTTATTCATGATTGGTTTACAAGTAAGAAAACAGAAATAAAATATCTTTAACAACCATGACAATTATAACACCCAAAGTTATGCTTCCCCCATCATACCATCCTTTGATCCCATGGAGTAGATAACATAAAGATGTCATCTTTCCATAAAAGAAATGAATTAAATAACAAAACATATAAATATTAGACTTAAAGATGTTCACTAACCTTTGTTATTAAACCTAGTGCCAAAAGAGCAACAACAGCTACCATCAAGATGATTAATATGGTGTCTCCACAACCATCATACAGAAACCTCTATCAAATTCATATTACACAACGATTTTAATTTAGATTAAATTATATTCAAATAATGAGTATTATCGATTCATTTGCCTTTAGAGAGAAAAAAAGATACAGATAAATTACCAACAGTATGTGGGAACAAAACTAAAAAGGAAAAACCATGTAAATGGGAAATAGAAGAGGAAGGCGATGTTGATGCACTTTTTCCAATTGCTAATGTTTAGTATTATTTTTAAAAAGTAAAAGGCAGATGATGGTTCATAGAGAATCATACATCCGTTTTACTAAAACTAGGAAGAACAGGGACAATAGAAAGTGTTGTTTTGCCTTTAAAAATTGCATAGTCTGCAAATATACTAAACATTAACTTATATACCATTTTACCCTTACTTACCTATCCAATTGTTGTTCTTCTAAGTAAACTTGGATTTGAATCATCTTCATCTTCAGCAGCACTATACCTACAAACCAGGAACAACTAAAACTATACTTAAAGAAACACAAGAAAATTGCTATAAAGTGTATAGACATGTACTATTAACAATCAAATGCAGAAGACAAGTGAAGTTTACTTACTGACTTTCCTGATCTGATGAGTAATCATTTCTTCGACTATCCATTCCAGATTTATATTCAAAAGACTGATATTTATTCCCGTTAGTAGCTAGGGACTCCTGATGCTTCAAGTCATTTAAAAGTCAAACACGTATGTGATCAGTAAGTCAAAATGACAGCATAATTGTTATTATCAAGAACTTCAATAGTCTTCATAATTAATATATAGTGTCAACTTTCAACACTGCAAATCTGGACTAAGCATTTACATTCATGATCCATATTTGTAGATTGCTAGAACTAAATCACCATAGGGATGAGTTTGAGAACAAAACTCACTCTTGGAAGCTCAATATTCCATGAGTTTCATATCTGAATAGATTTTTACATTGTTATGAATTTGGAAGATTTTTATGATTTACTCAGCCATTTCTATTGCTTTTTATGATTTACTAACCCTTCTTGGTATTTACATTGTAAAATTACTATGAAAAATATTTAATTGTACAAAATACATAACATACCACTTTTGCAAAAGCTTCCCACGTTTTGATTTTTTTATTTTGAAACAAACAAAATACCATCAGGGTTAGTAGATACAAAATTACACGAGAGATCAATCATAATTTGAAACGAATTTGAATCAAAGTAAGCCAAGTAGCAACACATAAATCAATGTATTTTGTCTATTAATTCATATCATGAGATAAATCACAAAATTAAAGTAAAATCTAGGGTTTAGTTAGGTTACCCCCACTGAACAGTAAGTTCTTCTTAATCCTAGTATTCCATAGGGCGAACAACATTGACATCGTGTAGACGCGAGATTTAGACATGTTGTTCACAGGTCTGGAGCAGTTGATGGTATCGTAGAGGCAGTGATCGACGATCTGTTGAACGGATGAAGTAGAGAAGTCGTCGACAGATCCTCCTACGTTGGGGAAAAGGGAAGGGTAGGGCTGGTCGAAGTAGGAAGCAATGGCGACTACTGGAGAGGAAGGGAGGAGAAAGAATACCGATAAGAAAAGGAATAGGAAGAAAAGAAAATTTGTACGTACCGTAGGTTTCTTGAGAGCAAAAGTGGTTTGAGGGTTGTGTTTTGCCCTGATTGGCTCCCAATTACCATAAAGGGTTTGGGTTATGCTATTTATTTGAATCCCCTGGTTTAAGAATGTTGTATTTTACACACCATAAACTCTCTCTCTAGCTCCACCATCGTTGGTCTAAAGGTGAAAGAACCCACAAAACCATCCTCTATTGTAGCATACTTGGCCAATACTTATTTAATTGTGTGTCGATGAGGGTAGCAACTTAATGAACGAACCTGCAAGAAAACACAATTTGGGTGAGAATCAAGAAAGCACCATATATCATTCTTAAAGTTCTTTTTTCGGATGCTATTAATTTGAGAGAAGAAGCAGGAGATAGACAATCCATGTTGAATAACTTACCTGAAGTTGATTTCAAGACTCTTTCCATGCCAAGTTTTGAGATTACGTCTGACTTTTGCTACTGATTAATCGAATTGATCCCTAGGTTTTTGTTCCGCCTGAATGTGAAGACTTTTGATATGAAATCGGAACCTACCTCTACCTCTGTATTGGTTGAATCTTGGAAGAAACTGAAAACCGATTCACGATCGACTGTGAGAACGTGGGTGAAGGCGGAGGCCCTAGGGCTAGGGCTTCTTCTTGCTAATTCAAAGATCAACATTGATGGTAGAAGGTGGAGGCATCAGTAGAGGGAACAATCTAAAAAGAGAGGAGATCGAACCATTTAGTGTGAGGTTCGATTTGGAAGAAATCTCAAACCATTAACCTTAAACATGATGTGAAGCGATTGATCCATAATTTTCTTCGTCTACATCAATTCCTTGGGCTCACATAATCGGATGATGATCGTAAATGAAGCATTCTTCGAGAAGGAAGGTGCATTGCCATAGTTTAAGGCTGGAAGAGGCAATGAGGATTGGAGGTAGTGGATGTGGATGAGGGGTGGAGACGAGGGAGAAGAAGGTGGGGGTTTAAAAAATTTGGGGATTTCATTTTACCTTCGAGACGCACGTTTCTTAAAAGAAAATATAAAACGACGTTCACATACGAAGCACAAGTGCCTTCCGTTTTTTTAATATTTTTACATGAGACACTAAGGGCTGTTTGTTTTTTGTTTGAAGATCTGTGCAACCACTTTTGTCTGCGCCACGCAGATAACGCGCAGACATATGCCCTCGCAGATTGTTTGTTTTTTGGAAGTGCGCAGATCAGAAAACGTCTGCGCGAGGTCTTCCTGGCGCAGACATGGGCCACTGTCTTCAAAGGTCTTCAGACCTCATTTTAACCTAAAAAAAAAAAAAAAAAAAAAAAAAAAAAAAACATGGCCACCGTGCAGTTTTTTTTTTCTTTCATTTTTTTGTTAAAAATACATTTTTAATGTTTATAACATGAAATTAAGTTTAAAAATTCAATTTATTTTAACGGTCCGCAGACGTTAAAAACAAACAGTCTTCTTATTGCAGATTGCAGACATTTGGTCCACCTCTTCTGCCGCAGAGGCTTGCAGATATGGTCCGCAGACTGCAGACATTTTGACTTAAAAAAAACAAACAGCACCTAATTTAAGGCCACTCAGTAATTCGCGACCTAGTTCCTTAAAATTTTTGAAGAGATGACACTTTTTTAAGGTCGCTCTCTAATGCATAACATAAATCAAAGAGCGTCGTGTTTTGCGCGTCGTAAAAGGGTCTTTTTCTTGTAGTGGAAAATTTGATATTGAAACAAATGCTTTGTGAAAATCTAGAACATACTTCCCCTTCAACTCCTTAAAAATTTTAGAAAATTGGGTTTCACTTTCATCACGGCCTCATGAATTCGGATCATAAACACAGAGTTTTGATATGTCTAAGTCTTGATTGGTTTAATCAAAAACCTCTTGAACAAATATCATTGTGTGTGAAATGTGTTAAGAAATTTGAAATGAAAAACTTTGGTTTATGAATCGAATGTACCTCTGCTATGTATGGACCAAGCAGAAAACTCTTCACTCAGATGATAAGAGTTAGGTAGCTCAGTAGACTAATGTGAATGCAAGCCTGATTGGGAAGAAATTTTCATGATGAAAGATTTCATTAAGGCTTTCGAAATCACACATTGAGTCAATAGAGGCTTGGGTCGACATGCTGCAGCATGCTTCTAGGGGCATCAAAACTAGTACAAAGTTTCGAAAGTATACCTTGCCCTAGAAATGCTAGCATGATCCTTGTAAGACATTCTTGTAATCTGCACAATTGAAAGAAAAGCAAAATACAAAATAACAAAAATCTTTTTGAATTTTATATTAAAATAACTCTTTTTGGTCTTTTATGTTTTTGAAAAGAAAGAAAATATTTTTGTGTTTTTAAGTGTTTCGAAAATTAAAACAAATAGCAAAAGAAAATCTTTTTGGTATTTTTGATTTTTTGAAAAGAATACAAATCAACGATTTTTTTTTGGTTTTTCCAATTTTTCGAAATTAAAGAATAAGCGAAAACTTAAGAATGTACGAAACTAACAAAACTTTTCTTTCCCAAACGTCGAAAACGAAGCGTATCGAAGCGCTGAATATGAACAGTAACCTCTGAATGGTTAATACTATACGCATTTGAATCATTCAATAATGCCTCTGAATCGACACTTTTTCATCTTCTTTCTTTTTTACTCTTTTGAAAGTAGTCCTGGAACTGAACTTCCTTCAATCATTCCCAATCCTGTCAAAACTCTAACAAATGATTTTTCATCCAATGATTTTGGAAAAATATCAGCAAACTGATCAGTTGTTTTTACAAAATAAACTTCAATATTGCCATCTTCCACATGATCTTTAATGAAATGATAACGAAGTGCAATATGTTTCGTTTTCGAATGTTGTACTGGATTATGACAAATGTGTATAGCACTTTGTGAATGACAATACAAAGGAATTTTTTCATATTAATTGCATAGTCACGCAATTGAGTCTAGATCCATATGATTGGTTAAGTGCAAGCGGTAGCTCCAACATACTCAGCTTCAACAGTGGAAATTGCAACACAAGTTTGCTTTTTTCAATTGCAAACATACAAGCTTCCCATCTAACAATTGACATCCTCAACTTGTAATTTTTGAATCAAGTGTCCATCCTCCCAGATCAACATCCGAAAACACTTGAATGAAAAATCTTGATTTCAAAGGATACCACAATCCTAACGAAATTGTTCCCTTGAGATAACGAAAAATAATTTTCACAGCAATCAAGTGTGGTTCTCTTTGATTTGCTTGATACCTAGCACAATTACATACAGAAAACATGATATCAGTTTGACTTGCTGTAAGATAAAGCAATGAACCTATCATACTCCTGTATAAAGTAAGATCAACAGCAGGTGTGTCTAACGAGGGTGTTAGCCTTGTTCCAACCGCCATTGGTACTCTTAACTTTGTGCTATTTGTCATTCCAATTTTTTCGAGCAAATTCCTAGTATATTTTTCTTGATTGATGAAAATTCCTTCTCTAGCTTTGATGAATGTTTAAAGCAAGAAAATTATTAATTTTACCGATCATGCTCATTCGAATTGGTTTTTCATCAAACATTCAAATTCACTAGACAAAGCAGGGTTAGTAGAGACAAAAATAATATCATCGACATAAATTTGAACAAGCATTAGATGATTCCTAAATTTCTTTCGAAATAATATGGGGTCAACTGATCCTTGTTTAAATTTCGATTGTCTTAAGAAATTGGTAAGAGTTGCATACCAGGCTCTTGGTGCTTTTTTAACCCATATATTGCTTTATCTAAAATATAAACATGATCAGGATATTTTTCATCTATGAAATCTGGAGGTTGTTCAACATAAACTGTTTCATCGAGTTTACCATTAAGAAAAGTACACTTCACATCCATTGGATAAACATCAAAATCTTTGTGAGCTACATAAGCCAAAAATATTCGAACAGTCTCGAGTCTTGCGACAGGGGCAAATGTTTCTTCATAATCGATACCTTCTTGTTGTGAATATCCTTAAACAACTAATCGTGCTTTATTTTGAACAATATTTCCATCCTTGTCGGTTTTGTTTTTGAGAATCCATTTTAATACAATAACCAAAACATTTTTAGGTTTAGGAATTAACCTCCAAACCTTGTTTCTTTCAAACTCAGCTAGTTTAGATTGCATTGCTACAACCCAATCTGAGTGTTCCATTACAACCTTAACTGTCTTTGGTTCTATTTTCGAAATGAAAACATTAAGCATGAAAAATTCTTGATGAGCATTCAGTACTTCATTCTTTGCACGAATTTGAGCTCTAGTCATAACTCCATCTCGTGGATTCCCAATGACTTGTTCTTTTGGATGATTTCTTGTCCATTTTTCTGGCGGTGAATATGTTGGATCAAAGTCCAAAGGTGTATCTTTGTACATTTCTTCACTTTCAGAACCTGTAACAGAAACATTATCATTAATTTCATGAAATTCATCATTTTGATCAAGATTTATCATATCAGTATCATTATGCTCTCTCTCTCTCGACATAATTATCATTTTGATGCTCCCCCTCAAAACTTTCATTTACACTGCTATTCTCCCCCACGAAAGGATGCTCCCCCTTAACAGTTGAAGGTATATTCAAGTGCACCCCCTCCATTTATGCATCTAGCATACTTTCGCTATCAATAATTGTATATGTTGTGATTATTGACTCATCAGAATGTTTTGAAGATTCAAGAGTTTGATTATCTGTAGCATTGACTTCAACATTTGTAGCCCTATCTGGAACACCAAAAATTACATCATAATCAAAATCAGATGAATTATAACTTTCAGACTCATCATTTCATTCATTAAGAATTGGTTTTTGTTCGAAATGCTTTTCAACTTGTTTCACATAATAATCATCAAAAGTGAGTTCGCTTATTCAACACTCTGTATGAAACTGAATTATTTGAATATCCAAAAAATATTCCTTCATCAGACTTAGCTTGAAATTTCGAAAGATTATGTTTGAGATTCATGAAAAAACACCTTCAACCAAACACATGAAAGAATTTAACATTTGTTTTGTCGGTTCTTTATGATTTCATACGGAGTTATATTGAAATGATGATGAATAAAGGATTGATTATGAGTAAAACATGATGTCGAAACTGCTTCTGCCCATAGATATTAAGGAAGATTCGCATATGTCAACATTGTTCTTGCTG